TTGAATAAGTCAAACACCCTAGGTAGGTGTCACTTAAATTTTTAAATCATTGATTCGAGACATATGCAATCTTTATTGCAACTCAATCACTAGATGATCAATTACATAGGGATTCGATCTGACCTCTTCCATACATGTTAAAAGCATCAAAAAATGCTTTAGTTAAAAATCTTGGATAGGTTAAACACCCTAGGTGGGTGTTACTTAAATTTTTTAAATCCTTGATTCGAGACATGCACAATCTTTATTGCATCTCAATCGTTGGATACACTGATGATTAGTCTCAGGAGAATTCAGCCCAACCTCTTCCCTAATGGTTAAAAGGCATCAAGTAATGCTTTGATTAATAACCTCGAATATGTCAAACACCCTAGGTGGGTGTCACTTAAATTTTCAAATCCTTGATTTAAGACATACAAATTTTTTGTTGTATCTCAATCATTGGAGATTCAATCCCAAGAGAATTTGACCCAACCTCTTCCCCATAGGTTAAAAAGTATTATATGATGCTATAACTAATAACCTCAGATTGGTCAAGTGCTCTAAAGAAAACATCAATGAAATATTTTTAGTTAAATGAAAGCACTGGAATATTTATCATCTCAGAATAAAAGCACCAACAATTCCTTACTATATCATTGAAGAATCACACATCTAAATACAACATTTAACACATAACAATCACTAGAGAAAGATAAAGTGATAAAACTAGTGAAAAGTAAAAATGATACTCAATCTCTGCAATCTCATCATCATCCTCGAGGGTAGAGGCCTTATGCAGCTCACTCTCTATCTTGTTATCATTAAAATCTACAGGGAAATCATCATAATCCTGATTGGGTGTTAAGCCTTAAATTTCCACTAGTCTTTCGTTGTACCAGGTGAACTCCCTTCAAAAAGTCCCAGATGAATCCCTCGTCAATACATTACTGCTCAAAAGCCTTCACTTCTATGTCATAAATGTGATTATAAGCCTCTTGAACACGATCCTGGATGATGGTCTTAAAGGTTATAGACTTTTTAAAATCTTCGATGACTCTCGAAGAATCTAAGCCAAACAAAGTGGCATCCTTCTTAGTTATAAGAGTCTGGGATCTCTTATTCTCAGCTTCGAGCACAGCTATCTTCTCTACAAAGGACTTTTGGCCCATCAGAAGCTGGGTGATCATTTCTTGTGCCTCCACTAAGTCAATATGGAGTCGATCTATATGCTGATTTTGAACATAAACATAATGCACTATATTTTCCAGCTCGGTTCTGCACTCGGTCAACTCCTCCTCATCCACTTTCACCTCCTTGATCTTATGGTCATACTTTTGCTTGTACTCTTATTGAAGATATTTAACCTTCATAAACTTGTTATTTCATTTGTTTAAAGCTTCAATAAGCTCGACCTCAAGCTCCATGCGCCGCGATAGCGGAAAAGAGAAAGGAAGGTACATAAGAGGCTGTCCCAAAAGAAAAAAGAATAAGTACTAAAAAATGTTACCCACCAAGTCATCAACTTTTTGCCACTCGATACACTGATGCATCAACACATCCTCAGGAATACACAACTTGATAGGGGAGGAGTCGGGTGGAGCCTTGCTCATAATCATTGCAACCCCCTCCAATTTCTTCTTCTTCTTCTTCAATGAAGCCTGGGGATCGTCACCTCTCACATGTCGCTTAGGAACTACCTTTAAAGTTGGGGCAGGTGGCTCAGAAACTTTGGAGGACTTATTCAACATCCTCGCATCAAACCTCCCAGCTTGAAAATACAGTCCAACCTTGAGCAAAAAATCTTCCTATGTAAATTTATTCAAATAATGAACCTCGTACAAAAGATGCTCGATGTCATGAATGTTGAGAATCCTCATAATATCTTCCTATCCAACGTGTGAAGGGGTAGGCAGATCCTTCATCTTCCCCCACTTTTTATAAGGCCCTAGTCATTTTTCACAAAGAAAAATACACTAGCCTAGCTCCTCGACGAATTTTGGGTAGAAGTCCAACCATTTGAATTTGAATATTATACGTCCCTGCACATCACTGGTAAAATTTTCCCATCCTTGAAAAATATTCAGGCAACAGAATAACTCCTCGATCTCTGTAGAGGGCAATCAGTCACACCATCACGGATGTGTCCTTATAGGAAAATTGGGCTAGACTTACCCCACACCTTCTGAAATGTCGATCAACTCTGGAGGAAGAGGAAACTACAACCCCGCTCCTAGACTAGTCTCATAAATGGCCAGGTACCCTGGATGAGGAAGGCATGCCCGATCAGATCTTTTAGGGATCGTATCCATGAGATCGCTGGGAAAGTGGAACTTCTTACAGAGGAAGATCAATGAATCACTCATAATGGTGGACAAAACATCATCTACCTCGGCTCCCTTATTTGGCCTCCGCTCACCATCATTCTGAGCAGCAGGATGTGAATCTCCCATAACCGCAGATTCTCTCGAAGAGGCATTCTCACCCATCATGGCCTCCTATATGGGAAGGGAACTGAAGGGAGAGAAAGAGATCGAGAAGAAAAACTCCACCTCAATGAGGAGCCCTGGATCAGGACAGGAGATACTTCTTGAACAGGATTAGGGGAAAGCCTCAGCTTGAGGAAGAGAATGGAGGGGGAAAAGTGTGGTTTTAAACACCCTAAGGGGTATTTATAGGGCTGGAGGAAGTTAAAAAAAAAGCTGGCTAACCGCTGGCCTTTAGCCAGCAGTTGGCACACGACCAGCTTAAGCCGATCAGCTCATCGACAGCCGTGTAGGCGCGTGGGGCAGTTGTGTAGGTGCATGGGACAGCATGCTGACACGCAGCAGCGGCGGCTGGTCTGCCCCAACCAATTTTTGGGCCTGATTTCGACCACGTAAAGATGAAATCAGATGTTTTTGGGGTCCTTAGGACTAATTTTCAACATTTCGGATATGATTTTGACACTTTTAGAGCTATTCAGAACCTCTACGCCCAGGTTTGAATTAATTTTAAGTTTCAAATCACAATAAAATTTCTTTATGAGCTATAATTCATATTTTTAGACTTCTGGAGCCTTGATGTCCGAAAATAGGGGCAACTGATGTATCATCCAAAAATTATCTTGATCGGACATGAATCTCAAGAAAAAACCAAGTTAGAAACATCCCAAATTAAATTTGGGATCATTCAAACTCTGATTTTAGCAAACTTACTATCGAACTGAACATCTTAATAATATGAAACCAACATCAAATTTGACTCAATATGAACCCAAATGAGTCCAAATCAAGTACCCAAAGCACTGTTGGAAGGTTCAAACCACAATTTGGATTACCAAATAGTTTTCAAATGTGACATGTTTATAGTTGAATCGAGCGGCTCGACGAGCCGAATACAACGAGCCTAAGATCACAGAATTCCAACATCATTAAGACCTTCAAATGTCTAACAACTGGTCATTGATCAAGGGATTCAACATTGATTGTCCATCCAAACCACTCCCCCTTACCCTTGATCTTCCTCCTATTTATGGGTCATGCCACTCTGGGAAATCTATAAATAGACCCTTCCTTCCTATTAAAAAGGGACCCCTAAGCCTAAGAAAATAAGAGAGAGATCGGAGATTGTTCTTGCCTCCTTACCTCCTCAACCACCGCCTAGAGTTCTGTGGACCACCACCTAACGCCCAAAGTTCTGCTGGACCACCACCTGATGTTGGAGTTCCGCTGGACCACCACCTAACGCCCAGAAATTCGCTGGACCATCACCTAATTTCGAAGTTCCACCGGACCACCACCTGATGCTGGAGTTCCGCGGGACCACCACCTGATGCCTGGAGTTCTGCCGGACCACCACCTGACATTGGAGTTCCGTCGGCCCACCACATAATGCCTAGAGTTCCACCGGACCACCACCTAACTCCGGAGTTCCGCAGGACCACAACATGATGCCCGGAGTTCCACTGGACCACCACCTGACACCCAGAGTTATGTCGGACCACCACCTGACACCCGGAGTTTTACCGAATCACCACCTGACTCCCAGAGTTCTGTCGGACCACCACCTGACTCCGAAGTGACGCCGGAGTTCCTCTAAACCACCGACGGATGCTAGAGTTCAACGAACTGACACATGAACTTCCAAGTGACGCCAGACTTCCATCAGACCACCAATTGACCTCGGAGTTCCGTCGGGCCACCAAGTGGCGACGGACTTTCATCTACCCCCAACTTCAACCTTATGGTTGATATTTGTATTCTGATAGCCATCGAGAGCGAGTCAACTCACTATAATATACTCAAATTCTAGTGGAATTATTTTCAACTAGGTCAGACCCCGTGGTTTTTTTCCTTTCCATGATTTTTCACTTAAAAAATCTTGTGTTATCTATGTGTCAGCTGGATATCAGTGCAATGCTAAGACATATGATTATAACTCTATCGCCGCATATATTCTAGCCCACAACATATATATTTTTAAATTAGTTGGCTCATGAGCTAACATGTCGAATTAAGACTAGCTCAAATTTAGCTTATTAGTTCGCAAGTCATTTAATGAGTTAAACCTGAACTAACTCACGAGTCAATTTAACTATGTTACCTATAATCTCTACATTAAAAAATACAACTAAAAATCTAACTTCTATTTCAAAATTTTCACCATAAAGGATTTTTCTTTCTTTTAATATCAAATGGGGGATTTAAATTTGACTTATATATATACGGCTAAAATAAAATTTGTTATCCACTCCACCAACCCTATATTGATATCATTAACATTTATGATAGGAAGAAAAATACAAAAAAATGAGAAATAGTAGAAGAACAATAGTTTTTTATCATGTTGAAAATAACTAAATCACGCCGTTCATCTTAATATGTAAATTGAAAACTTTGACTACCAATTAAAAGGTCTTAGATTCGAAGCTTACTTATATAACATTTATGTGAATTTATCTTAATTGATCTAAATATCCCATAATAATAACATTCTCTTAACAACATTGATAATTACCCCAAGTATATTGCTGTGTAACATTCATAGTAAGCTTTGCTGCAACTAATTTTAAGTTGAGAACAGAAAAATAAAGTTCACTGAAATTTACACAATTCTTAAATGTTATAAAGATCATTGGGATGCAACAACATCTCTGAGCTACCTATCAGCTTTGTAATGTTACATAACACCATATCAAGAACATTCACTTGCCAATAAAACAAATTTCTTCTATTTTGTCCTAAGAATGATGATTGATATAATTTTCTGAATTATTACTGTGCCACCAGCTTTGGCTTCACATCACCATCTGCTTTTGTACATAATTCAGTGGAGGATTGAAGGAATTCCTTATACCATTTTGCTGATAGTTTTGGAGTTCTCTCTTGTGAGCTGAAATTCACATGATAGAGCCCAAATCTTTTGCTGTATCCATTCAACCATTCAAAATTATCCATCAAAGACCATATGAAGTAGCCTCTTACATCAGCCCCTTTCCTATAATTGAACACATCAACATATGAAAACATAGCTATAAAATTAATATAATTCTAATTCAGATATGTTGATGATGAAAAATTAAGGATTCGTTTGGGACGACTTTTTTGCTGTTTCTTAAAACGACTTTTCAGTACAAAAATTAAAATTTTTGTACTAAAAAGCCGCTTTAAGAAGCAAGAAGAAAGCTGTCCCAAATGAAGCCTTAAAAAAATGAAGGAAAGAAAGGTACATTGTCATTTGTACAAAATAGTTACCTCATAGCTTCCAATAGTGAAGAAAGATAGGCAGTATGAAACTCTACTCTTTTCCTGTCATTGAGCAATTCTTTTCTGATTTCATTGGATGGATTACTACTACCTTCTTGTCCAAAGCCTGAACTCACATTTACAAATAAAAGGAGACTCAGAAAAATAAATTTTACCAAGCCAAATGAGGGCTTCAATAACATTTCTACTTAGTACCATTCTCTGTGATGAACATAGTGATATTGTTATATCGTTTCATTATATACAAAATCATCTTCTCCAAGCCACTTGGAACCACATAGAAGTTGTTTACTCCAGTCTGAAAAAAGAATATAATAAGTAGTTAGAAAATAAATAAAAAGCATTTACAGAGTCTAAGCTTGGTTTTTCACTTGCATTATCTCCAATAAAATGCCCATCTTTTTCTCCAGTTGTATAAGCAAATCCATAGCCTTCTAAAGTACTTTGAGAATCACATTGTGAAAACAAGCAATCTTCTGCATACAGACTTGTGTAGTGATTGACTCCAATGAAGTCAAGCTTAGTTTGCAACTTTTGCTTATCCTCTATCGAAAATTTTGGCAGCCTTGATCCGAGAATTTGAAGCATTTCTGGAGGATAATCGCCATAAATTATAGGATCCAGAAACCTGAACGGACAAAGCAGAAAAACCAAGAAAATTGTTTACTTTGCATGGCAATGTAATTATAAAATATATTTAAGCATTCATTGCAATATATATTACAAAATATATACCATGGAACTTCAAATGCTAGAGCCCGTGAAGCAGCAGATCTATCCATAGGAGTATCTGTAAATGGTTCACGCCAGTTTGCCGCCATGATAATGCCAATAAAACCTCCATGTTTTCTCTTAAATAGATCCGAGTGAAGTTTATTACAAAGATTTTTTTTTTCTAATGATCTTCTTAAGAATATATTTGGAAATATATGGTGTACAACAACAGTAACAAATCAAAATTATATTAAATTTTTTAAAATTCAAACTAGATGATGAAGAAAAAAATAAAGTTTAAGCAGTATAAGCATTGAAAAAATGATAAGAAATTGGTAAAGATTATCAACTTTTCTTTAATTTCATTCACAGAAATACAAAGTAAAGTAATACCTGATATTTCTTTCTGTATATATCAACAGCAGTAGCATGGGATAATATAACATTGTGAGCAGCAAGATACGGTTCAGTTCTAGAATCCCCTGATGGACAAGAAACATAAGGCAGAGAACAACGACCTGGAGCGTATTCACCTTTCATATATCCCATTTTTATCATAAGATTTGGTGCGTTCAATGTGCTCCAATAAGTTACCTTTTCACCAAATGCTTCAAAGCATACCTCTGCAAAGTATCCAAAATCATTCCTGAAAAAAAGGAAAGAAAATATATTTTAAAAATCAATAATAATTCACCGTGCAAGATCAAATTTTATTTAGGAAAAGAGTACGGTACTGTATCTGTGGATTCAACCATCCACCATACTGATCTTCGAGTTCTTGAGGTATGTCATAGTGATTTAGAGTCACAAAAGGTTTTATTCCTGTCCAAAAATAAGTTTGGCTAACCATAAATGAAATATTCCATGTTATAAAAATAAAAATAAAAATAAAAGAATTCTCAATATGTGATGAGAATTTTTTAAAAAATATATTACCTTTATCAAGCAAAGCATCTATAAGATTGCTGTAAAATTTGATGCCATTTTGATTGATCTGACCAAATCTGCCTCCTACACTTCAGAAAGAAAAAGATGATATTTGTTCATTGAGAGAGAATTTTTCTTTCAATTTTAGATGACATTAATATTTTGATTGCTTACTTGGAAGGATTCTCGACCATGATATGGAAAATCTATATGAGTTGACGCCAAGATAATGCATCAGCTCAACATCTTCCTGTTTCATTGTTTTTTCAACAAATAAAATATGTTTATAATAACTTTATCAGGCGTTTTCCCCAAGCGGATGAGTTCAATTAAATATTGTAATGTTAGTGTGAATTTTATTAGAAACTGCTCACTATATAGCGGTGATAGTGATCATCTGCAACATCTCCATTGCTACCATCTACAATTTTTCCTGTCATAAAGATGACATGTTAGAGTCTAGAACTGTTTAATCTAAATTAGCATCAAAAGAAAATAGATTAGTGAAAGTTTGGTTCATTTAATTGCAAAGACACAATTATTTAACATTTCAATTAATGGTTAAAGTGGTGGGTAAAATTTTTCAAATATTTCTCGCATAATTTTTGGTGATATATAGATTGGATGCGTGCTAGGTTGTTGAGTCTTATTTGTTTTGATAAAGGAATGGAAAGCTCAAAGAAAGAATCATGAATTTTTCTTTGTTTTCCTTAAATTTCTTGCAAATAGTCAAACAAAAGAATTATACACACAAATTAGCAAGCGATGAGATTATGCAAGAAATGAACAGATGTAATTTACCTGGTATACGAGTAAATAAATCCCAATTGCTCAAGCTTTTGTTGCCTTCTAAATATCCACCTTCAATCTATATATTATAATTATTCAATTAGCAGTATATATGTATATATATAGCAAAAAATATTTCTCAAGAAACACATAGAAACAAACCAAGAAACAAGAAGGAAATTAAACGTTAGAAAAGTCAACAAGGCTTAGAATTTTCAAGATAGTGTGTTCCTACATCTATAGAAAAAAAAACAGAGCTTAAGTTCCATTGTTGGAACACCAACACCACAAGAACAGTTTCTTCCCTCCCCTCTCTCTACTCCAATTATCTCGCTTTATCTTAAGAATGGAGAAAATAATGTGTATGATGAAAAGTACAATCACGATAATTTGAAAATAATGGGTGTATGATGGCCTAAAACAAGCCATTCAATACATAAAACTACCCAACATAGTAAAATATTGACTTATAGTAGTCTATAGACTTCTAGTAGTCTTCAGTTGTTGGTGACTACAAAGGTAAAAATCAAAATAGGGCCCAGAGGTGATGAAAATTAGTTTTACGGTGTCCGATCCAAACTTCTTTGAAACCATCCAAAAATATTTACATCGAGTCAAGCATATCAATCTATCCTTTTATGATATCAATCCCAAGCATCCTCTCGACTTTGGCCTAAATATTTCATCGCAAACATGGTTGCAACAAAGATTTTAACTTCTCAACTTCACTTTGTCGTTACTAGCTATGAGCATATCATCAAAAAAGAGAAGCCAATATATAGCACTATTCCTAGAAAATTTCTTATGATAGACACACATGTCAAAACAACTTTATTTTAAATAAATTTTCAATCATAAACAAGTGAAATTTCTTACATCATTGTTGCAAATATTTCACTAGTCCATAGAGCAACTTCTCAAGAAGCTAAAATTAATATTCCTATTTGATCGTAAATATCCCTCGAGTTGGCTCGTGTAAATCACTTCCTAAATCTCACAAAGCAAGAAAGCCATTTTTGCATCCACTGTTTCCAATTATAGATCACAACTAACTATTAAAGACAATAATACTGAAACAGAAATATGCTTCACAATAGAAGAAAAAAACCTCATTTAGAGCGATCCTTTGCCAATAATCCTGCCTTATATCTAGCTTTTCAATTCATGGAGTACCTTCTTCCGTATTCAATATTCACTTTGCAGTCTAGAACCCTTTCATCATGGATGCCTTCTTTCCTTTTTATATCCACTTACAGCCTATAAAAAGTTTGGGCTGTCGCACTATAAGCCCTTTATTTGCTGGCCAATCAACAAGATAACAGATTCTATTATTTTTGAGTGATTGAATTTTCTCTTTCATTGCTTGTCTCCAATGATCACTCTTATCATTATGCATTCCTTCTCTAATTATTCTTTACACATCCTCTAGTATTTTTTTTCTACAGTTGTATGAGAGAGAAGTAGTCACCTTGACAAGACAATGTCAGGTGCATGTATCTTGTATTTGTTTTCTCTTGTTAGGATAAAACTTCTCAACTCAATTTGAGTTTTGTGAATAATAGCTCTTCCTGATAATTATGGCTTCCTTTTAAGTGTCAGCCCCACCACCATTTGATTTATACCTTTGCTCTCGTCGCCCAAGTTCACTACATCGCAAGCGCATATGATGGTTATCAAATCTATTTTTGTAGTTTGCACATTTATAAACATAATCTTTGATTCAAACAAAGAAAATCTCAACTATTAATTGTTGAGTCCAAATTTGTCCATAGGAAACATTAGAACCTATCTAGTAAGACTTATAAGGCATACAGAACAAGAGAGAGAAATAAAAACTAGTTTGAGAAACACTAAAATTATATTAGATTACCAAAATTATAAGAGTTGAGTCCAAATAACTTCATGTGTCAAGCTTGCCGCTTGGCCCCCTATTTGTAAATTCAGGCCAAGATTTAATGTTATTGGAAAAGCTAATTTTACGTTATAACTAAAATAAGAAAATACAAAGCAAGGCTTGTAGCCAACTTGTTGGATGAAGTTGATGATTTGACTAGAGAAAATAGTTGACTTGCTTGAATGAATGTTGGCTAGTAGCTTTTCCATCTACGCAAGTAAGCTTGATTATGACTTGAACAGAGTGCGCTTTGAAGAAAATTCGTCATAGCCTAAGCGAGTTCAACATAACTCAAGAAACTCCAAATTAGAGTTGACAAGTTCAAAGTAGACGCGGCGAGCTCATGTCAAACCCAGCGAATTCATATCAAGCATGGTGAATTCACTTTGTCCATGATGAATTCACTATCTCTATCCTTCTTATTCTGTCTAGTCGACTTGAACTTGGTCAATTTTGCTTGAACTGGGCCATTAAGATATTTGGATGTACAATAATATACTTGTACCTTCTTTTTTTAATTAACCAATAATTACACCTTTTTTATCTCATCAGAATACCCTAAGAATAAACATAATATAAATGTTTATTCCAATTTTCCCTGCCTAAAATTAGACATCTAAAAATTCTTAAGCTGTTATAACATACCATCATATCAATATAAACTTCCTTTTGAGCCTTAAGACTAAGATGTATGTAATGGCATTTACTCATCAAGTAACAAAGTGTGTTGAGTGCTTCAACCCCAAGAAGCTTGTTCATTTATAGCAAATGCAAACACGCATCTAACTTTTATAGTGGTATTTTTCTTAACCGTTCATCAATGTCATTCTATTGGGGCATTTTTTCTATGGTCTTAATCTAGAATTATCATTACAATTATAGAATTCAATAAAGTCTTTAACAAGTTATTCCAACTTTTTATTTGTCCACAACATCTTGATTCTCTTGTTTATCTGATTCTTAATTAAGCCTTTTCATTGCTTGAATGTCCTGAATGTTTTATTTTTAGTTTCAAAATATAAATTCAGACTTTTCTTTAGAAATTATTTATGAAAGAGATAAAGTGCCTTCCTACATGTGTTGGAACCATCACAAAACCCCAAATATCATAGAAACATATAGTCAATGGAGCCTATGGTTTTATGTTGGCCACCCAAAGATGTAATGCTCCAACAAATCTCCCAAAGCATAGTGTATTTCAAGTTTACCACGAACGAGTAATATTCATTCTCCATAATCTAGGCATTCACCCAGGGCCTTTGCAGCTTTCATTTGATCCAGAAGGACCTTCATTCTCTTTAACCAAAGCTAGAAATCTATCTTCCCTCTTCTCTCAAACTTGACCTTCACAACCCCCTTACATCTCCGATACCAGTTTTATACGCATCAGCCAATACTTTTCTAAAAAAAACACACAAAATAAACCAAGAAACCAGTAGGAAATAAAAAATCAGAAAAACGAGAAGAAGGCTTATATGTTTAACTGCACTGTCTGCATACATACATACATGGCAGGATATCAGGTCTACCTTCCACTGCTAGAATACCAATGATGCAAGAGTAAAGGTCTTCAACTCTATTCATAAACACAGAGTTCCTCCCAATCTTGTTTTGTTTCACTTCCAAGAGAAAAAAACTAGATACGAAGATCAATCTCTCTTCTTCTTTTGCACTCGTGTTTTCCAATCCCAGAAGAAAAAAAGAAATCTCTATCCATACTATATTTTCTAAGATTGTACATAAACCTATTACAAACGAAAGGTAGAGGAAAAACAAAGCTAGCGCATAACCCTCTGGCTAATAAGAGTTTTCCAAGTATACTTCCCAACGAACCAGATTGGTTGACTTGTTTTTCTCAAAGAAGATTTTAGAAGTTGCTGCAACATAAGAAAAAAAAAAAGGATCGATTTCTTGTAAAACGGTTTTAAAATTTCATTTCAGTACAAATTTATCTCCTTCTATGGAGCTTGTTCGAACCGCAATAAAAAGGAATAAAATGTTTTTTTCTTAATTTCATATATTTTTCAAACTTTGAAGAAGATGACTAAATAATTTTGATCAAATCAAATGTGTAGTTTGATGGCAAAACCTGATAAGCAGAAGTGGTTGTCCCAAAGAGAAAGTCAACGGGGAATTTGTTCTTATCAATAGCTGCTGCTGCTGCTATGGAGAACAGACAAACAAGAAACAGAGCAATAGCTTCTTCATTTCCCTTCATTCTCTTCAAGGATTTTGTTTCGGAGCGTAATGATTCAGGAGGATAGCAAGTTTATGAGATGGGGTTTATTAAATAGTACAGTTTTTTGGACTCAGGCGAACATTGAAGATTTTTGTCAAATCAACTCAGATGATAATCTTTTAGATTTTACTATTGATTAAATATCTCTGTTATGATATGATTTTCTTTCTTTTTTGGCGTCATATGTGGAGCAAGTTGGACCTTTTTGGCTTTTTGTTCTATTATTATTGTCGAGCAACTCGAGCAAGTTGGACGTCATCACACACTGACTGGCCTGGGCCTGATAGGATTTTAATTCTCTTAGCTGGTAAGAAAGTGTAGTTGAGTTTATGTGCGGAGAAATTTGTTCATTATTTTTGTTTTTAGATAGGAGCAGGTAAATAGTGACAATTAACAAAAGCAGCAGATTTAACAAAAAATTTAAGAATGAGCAAATGCGCTCAATAGAAAAGCGTATTGACTGAAGAGAGGAGAGAGAGAGTGAAAGAGTGGGTGGGGAGAGAGAGAGTGTAGGCGGGAAGAGAGAGAGAGTGGAATGGCATAGGGTTTCGTTAAATATTTAATAATTATTTTAATTATTATATAAATAATAATTAAATATTTAAAAATAATTAATAATAACTTAAAATATATTTTAACTAATATTTAATATCTAATAAATATTAAAATAAA